TGTGTGTGTGTGTGTGTGTGTGTGTGTGTGTGTGTGTGTGTGTGTGTGTGTGTGTGTGTGAACAAAGGTTGTGTTTTCTTTTCTGTATGGATTTGTCTACTTTGGCTCACCTGTTATCAGCTGACCTGCTCCAAAATGTTGTAATGCTGAACACATTAGAACACATTGTGAGGACAACATTCCAACCTAAAGAGCGATGTTTTGTGCTACTATTTGCCGTAAATATTGCTGTGTGAAATTATGTGATAGTACAATATTGTTATAGTCTGTTGCAGTGACAGCAGGCTAAACATGGAGCATCTTGGTAAACAAATTACGTAATAGCACTGTTCTATCAGTACCGTTGCCAAGCAACGCCCTCACATGAACCGAGCCCCCTTATTTTCCGAAACTGACCAATCACGGAGCTCCTTACAAAGGCAGGCCAACTGCTGTGTGTACAGACGGAATCGTCGTTCTTTTCGGGAAATAATCGACACCTAAACTGCAAATTATGGACGAAATGCAGGAATCTGTCGGACTGAAACGTCAAAGAAAACTTTTCATAAAAAGGTGTGTCTCGAATTTGTTGTATTTCGTTGCCGGCGTTTGTGCATTGCGGCCTGAAGTAGGCCGTTAACAAAACAACCTTGTCGGCTAGCTATCATAGCTGCATTCGAACTAACCTGAGTAAACAAACGCCTTTATTCGTACCGTTAGCTGACGATTGTCATCCTGGACCAGCTTTAGTTAAGCTAATGTGAAGCTAATGGTTGATTTCGGGGCAAAAAAGAGGCTCGTTTGCCGGCTAAGTACCGTTAGCTTAGCGTGTATCTTGGTAGGTTCATAGTTCCGTCAGTTAGCTGTTATTTGGCTGCCCTGCTGCGGTTAGCGTAGCACCGGCTAATTAATTAGATAATATTTAACGGTAATGTTGGTTAACAGGCATGGAAGCCCCAGAGGAATGAATTCCTCAGAGACAGCTCCCGTGGCGGGAGAGGGTTGTTGTTGTTCGTGTCCTTGTCTAACCCTAGCCTTAGTTTGTGCCGCTCATGTAGCTTCATGATAGACTGAGACTAGTGTTTGGTCCACTTGCACCATGAAGTGTATGTTTATTGAAAACATGTTCCTCACAAGTTTCATTTTTGCGTGGTGTCAATATTGCTACGTGTCAGTAGACATTGTTTCATAACGCGTTAAAAAGGGCATAAAGCTACTTTTCTTTATAAACAGATGAGGATCACATTCACTGCACTGAGCGTAACGTTGAACATTTTTAGGTTGTTGTTCTCCAAATCAGCTTCTCAGCACTACAGCTTATACAAAACAGCTTCAGCCACCAGGATGTTTATGAGTCCTGTTTTTGAGTATTCTGGCAGAGGTCCAGCAGGATTTTAGCAGTGAAGTCCAACAGGATACTGACCTAAATACGACACAAGGGATTAAAGGACATAAAGACAGTTTGTGTAATTCATTTGTACAATAATCAGTAGGATGTCATATTCAGTTGAAGTGTAGAAGGGTATTCAGCATATGCATGGGAATGTGTTTCTACTGAATGAAAATTAAACATTTAAACTATTATTCCAGGGGTCATTACTGAATTAAGCCTGAATCTCAAGGCAAGTTTGGTTTAAAATGTGTTTGATGTGTGAAAGATTTTGCACATTTGTTGCTTTATTGCAAGGTTAAGTAATACAATCTATGGTTACTTGTGATACAAAAGCTTCATTTAATGTTTGATGCTTATGTGGTTAATTGTTAAGCCATCTTTAGTTATCGTGGAGCATTATTCTTTGTCATGCTTGTTTTCTGTTTATACACCTACACAGCATGGTCACATGTGATATCTTCTGAAGGCCTGTGACGCACTTTGTTATGATATTATTTTTGATCCAATCCAGTGAAACACTGCTGACCTTCTGAAGTGTGTATTCAGGGATGTTTACTGTTCAAATAGGATCAGTGCTGTGACTCTGACACGTCAATACATTCCTTACAAACATGCATTTAGTCTAACAGAAGGAAGTGTCCCAGTTGTGTTGCTTGTGCAGGATAGATATGTTGGAAACAGATCAATGAGTCAACTGTGAATATTAAAGCCTTTTTAAATCAATTTACAATTTACAGGTGATTATTGTTTTTTTGTTTGTTTGTTTTTTAATTGCTTGTTTTGTTTGTCTCTGCAGAAGTTGAGAATGCCAAGCGGGGACTTCAAGGAGGACAGGCTTACAACATCTGCACAATCCACCCCAAGTGGCACCCCCTCTGTCACCCCCTCCGTTACCCCCAGTGTCACCCCCTGTGTTAGTCCCCACACATCGCCGGCTCTCAGTCGCAGGTAGGCTTCATGCGTCTGAAATGTTGAGCTCCTATTGACAGTTGATCTGAACACATGGTTCAAAATTTTAATTTAAAATTTGCAAAAATGAAAACCTTTAATAATAAAATTCATCATTTTCCTACATAGACTACATCAAGTCCTGTATGACGTATCTTGTCTTGATGTATATGGTGCTTGACTGTATGTTTATAATTTGGTCTTTGGCTTGGTGGAAATACAGGAACTGGTTCCAGCTGAGTCCTGCACCTTTCCTTGCCGCCCCAGAACTCAACTGCCCCAATCCCGGCACAGACATGGGAGGAAATGAGGGAGGAGGAGGAGAGAGGTGGAGCTTCTTTGGAACTCGATCTGTGGTACAGAAGTCCCCCACTGATCCTGGCTCTGATACCAGCACAGGTGAGACATTTTTATCCAGTTCAGAATCTGCATCATGACTGCAGTATTTTTTTTTTTTATCACAAGATTAGATGAGGCCCTTCATTTTTGTTTTTTCTCTGAATACAGCAGTGCGGGTTTCATTGCCTTAGATGAACCCTCCTTGGAGTTGAAAATCTTTTGAAATAAATGGATGTTTTCAAGTGACAGGATGGCACTACATTACAACTGATTCTGCAATTCAATTTAAACAAAAGTTGCCCCACCTCCCAAAAATCAGGACAGGAAATGATATCATATTATCACTTGTATTAATTAGTAGACAAAATGTTTTAAATGCTTTGTTTGGGTGTGATTTGGAATTGTCCTTGTTGCACTAAAGGTTACACCTAAGAATGATGCCACAGCATCCCGAACCACACCTGTAAACCTGTGCCAGCAAATTATTGAATACTAATACTGTAGCTGTTCCCTGTGTCACCTAGTTTTAGGTCACGAATGACAATATCTACCACACCTTTCTGCTGCAGGCTTCTCTCTGCAATCCTACTTTGGCCTGCAGAAGTCCTCTACCATGGACGGCACCAGCACCCAGGTGAACCTCAAGGTGGAGGACCCTTCCAACTTCATGCCTCCCAAGATTGAAATCTCAGGCATCGAAGCCAAGCGGGTACCCCCACGGCCACACAAACTTAAACCTCGGGACATGAATGTTTTAACACCCTCGGGCTTCTGACATCTGACCAGCTGTGTGGTTGCTCCTGTGTGCCACATCCTCAGTAGTTTCCAACCATCTGGTTGCTCATTCGCTTTCCTGCCTTCCTCTCTCCCCTCTGTCTCCTTGCAAATTCACTGAGGCTGAGAGGAATGTGGACTACCTACAGTATTAGCTCACCAGCCCCAGAGACATCACTGCACTGCTTGTCCTCCCAGTGGACATATCTGGATCAATTGCTGTCCTCTATAACTCCACACCATCACCTTCCTGTGTCTTCCAACTCACTGGTCCAAATAAAAAGCAAATGAAGTAAATTCATTTGTCACCCCTAAAGGTGGTACTGCTTTGTATTATTGTTGTCATAATGGGTGCATTGACTTGCAACGCCTTTCTGTCCTTGTTCCATTGTCAGTGATGGCATGAGATTGAAGTTGAAATACCTTGTCAGTCCTTTTCAAAAATTGATCACTTCAGCTTTGCCTCTCAAATTAAAGCTGACTAGTTATTTCAATTCTAAATCCTCAGATGCCTGCCTCGTTTGTATTTTCTTTTTTTCTTTCTTTCTTTCTTTTTTCTTTTTTTTTTTAATAAGCTCACAGGTTTATAGTTGTGTAGTGCTTTTCTCTGTCAGCATGCAGAGTATAGTGTGTATGACTGATTTTGTGCCTAAACTTTCAGCGTGCTTGCATCTTGCATTTTTGCCATCTAAGTTTAGCTTTTGTTTTTTTTATAATGTGAGAGCATCTTATTTTCTTTATGGTAGAGTATGACTGCTGACCTGAAGTGAATTTTTTTTTTTATTATTATTTCAACTCAAGTATTTTCATATTGTCCTGCTTTAAATCAACAATGTATATTCTAAATACTGCATAGTACAGTTTGTTGAGTTTATCACATTTTTATATAGGGCCATAGTGATGGTTCAAGAAGCTATAAGAATACAAAGCATTGAAGTGGTCATTTTCAAGTTTGGATTTGTCTGTGTCTAAGAATCCCTGCTGTTTTCTTTTAAAGTTGATGAATTCCAAGAAGTAATTGCACAAGGGAGATGGTCTCCCACTTACATCTGTAAATAAATATGATCATAACAAGCAAAACTGGCTTTTTCTTTTTCGTAGAACCATGTACAGGAGTGAGCTGCATGATGAATCTGTGGTTAGCAACAACATGTTGAGGTTAATTGGTGATTCTAAATTGTTCGTAGGTGTGAATGTGAGTGTGCTTGGTTGTCTGTCTCTAAGTGTAGCCCTGCGATAGACTGACGACCTGTCCAGGGTGTCTCCTGCCTTCTTTCTGAGTCAGCTGGGATAGGCTTTCGCCACCCTAGAGAGGATTAAGCGGTGTATAGATAATGGATGGATGGGTGTACAGTGAAATAATTTGTAAATCCACAAATTATTGACAGCATCATGCATTCTGGTATTATTTTGTGTTTAGCATATACAGTATCCTCCTTAATACCTAATTCAGAGCTTTTTGAATGTCATACAGGGAACAAAATACAAGATAATACTAAGTACAGACTAATAATAGATATGTATTTGATTTACTAAACAAACTGAAGATGTGAACGCTGATTCAGGGGTTTAGAACCAGGTAATACCGGCATTTTTTTATTGTAATATGCATCAAACCAGAACATAACTTAAGTTTCTCTTGGTTTGCTCCCTGAATTTTCCATTGCCGTCATGTAAAGACAAAAAAAAAGACAAATCTGATCCCTGTGGTGAAACTGTGAAATGATTTTGCAGCAACCTTCACCTCCAATCTTTGGCCAGAAGATGGCACAATAACTTCAACATGAGATCCGGATAAGTTTCCTTTTCACTAATTTGGCTTTTGTGTTTCGTGATGACGGGCAATCACCCGATTAGAATCAGGAACAGAGGCATAGATGCTGCAGTTAAATCAAGCATTGAGCAGCAACAATATATTTTTACCTAAATGAAAAGCACAGCCAATAATCAGGAAATTAATTTTGCCACACAGGCACATAAAGAGCCAAGGACTCAGAAGGAGATTGTGCTTCTCTCTGGTGACTCGTCTATCAGGTCATCCACTGTGCACACACTGATTTAATTTGCCTCGTGCTGTTGTCAGAGAGACTGATTTTATTTTAGCAATTATATACTGTCAACAATTCTGTACAATGGCTGAGTATAATTTGATACCCAGCCTCCTTCCTTCACCTCAAAGCACACCCAGGCATCAGACAATGAGCCAACAGGAAGAAACAGAAGAGAGCAAAATTTTTCTCGTGTAAGCTGAGCCCTGCCCGACTTTACAGCCTTGTTAAGGCGCTCAACAATTATTGTCTGATACCATGCTTACTGCGTGTGTGAGAGAGAGATGTGGAGGATTTATTACAGGGTGTTGTCTCATATTTTGTCGCTTGTGCAAAAATTAAACACATTTGTATCATATGTTGACTTATTATCATAAGTGAAAAGCCAGTATTGGATTGTTTGTTTGTTTTTTTTAATATGGTGCTGCAGTTTTAACATAAACAAGGCCTGGACGTGGAGTGACACAGATATTAGCTGGACCTCCTGAAGGGAACAATCCTTTGCATAATTACAGGCTGTTTGCTTTTCAGGTGGTGCTACAGGAGGAAAGTTGAAGATCAAAAAAGGAAGACAAGTACGAACAGAGAGCTGATAGTTAAAGCTGCAGCTGGACAGTCCTCAGTGGCAAATCAAGTAATGGACAGACGGATGCGAGATGAGAAGGCAGAGAGGACGCGGGCTGAAGGAAGTGCAGCTGCGAGGAGGGGAATTTGGTGAGTTTTGGTAAAACTGCAAACACAGATGGAAATATTCAGTCTTGGGTCACATTTTTGTTTGAGGCATGCAACCCGACACATAAACAGCTGGCGCAGCAATGACTGTGTCGGCAACACCAAGCCGAAAACACACAGCGAAGGCAAGAGAAGCAGTGGGCGGGGGGAGTCTGGAAGGGTAGAGACACAGGGAAATGGGGAAATAGAGAGCAAAGGGTGGAGTGCCCCAGCAGTCATGACATAATACAGATGGCTCTCTCTCTGGATCCGACATGACGTGCTTGTGTAGTCCCCCACCCCGCCCCTCGCTCTGCTCTCCACCCCCTCAAACCTCTGCTCTGATCCCACTGAAAAAATCATTTAGCTTACTCACAGATGTGCAGAGCAGCACCACCCTGCCAGAGCGACCACGCACCAAAACAAACATCCACAATCTGACACGACTCACTCACTTACTCATCTATATTTTGAAAAACTGGCCCAGCCGAATTCCTTCCTTGACAACCTCAAAATAATGACTTTAATCTCTTACACCCCTATGACACAATGTTCACTTGCCAGTCTGGCCAAGCTACCATGATGCGGAGCGATAAACAAGACTCTTAAGTGCCAGTTTACAAGAAACCACGTCATTTGCTTATTTTTGTTTTTTTAGGGGCCATTCAGGTTTTTGTGTGTGGGAAGTTATATGTCTGGAAAAAAGGGCTGTTAACGTCTAGATGTGTGAAAGGTCAACTTTGAAAAAGATTGTTTGAACTTTTATCTATTGCTTGTAGGAGGGGCAGGAGCATTTTATGTCAAGGTGACTCCAGAAATATGCTTGGAATTCATCTAACCAGCTCTTGCGTGGTTACATTCAACAAGAGACATTTTTAATTAGCAGTTATTAGGCTAATGATACCTGACCTGTACAGAGGAATGCTTTTCAGATACAGGGCACATGATTATAACTGAGCAAGTAGGATCTTACGCATAGCTTATATAGAAAACGCCCCAAGATGAATTTATTGAAGAGCACTGAAAAACATGATAAGATAATAAAGTTCACAGTAGGCAGACAGGATTTTATCACTGATGCTACCCTTCATTTATTACTCTCAAGTTATATATACAGTGTCTCTTATCCGTGCAACCGGTGTCACAAATAGTGGTGATGATTAATGCGCTGTCTGTCAGAGGTGATGTGGTTATTCATGCTGCTGGTGACAAAACTGAACAAGGGATTTGAAGACGGTCCCCTCTGACGTTTGTTGGGTGGGTTGTCCGTGTCGTATCCTGCGGCTCTCGGAACCACATCTGGGTCTGATTCACAGCTCGCTGGCCCGGAGGTGAACCCAACAGGCTAAGAGGAACGAGACTGCTGGTCTTCTGGTATCCTGTTAAAGCACACATCAATCATGCCCACTACCTGGGGATAGGGTTACAGTCTTACAGCTAGTTAGGCAGATGTAGGTCACCCACCAATCAAATCACGTTGCTTATGTTATGTAATAATAAAGGTCTGCGCTTCATAAATCACAAAGACGTGACCTCTTACATCATCTCTATGTCCTCAAAGAGCCCCTCAAGAGTATGAGATGCAAGCGGCTGCATCGAGTGAATGTCACGCAGAGTTATAATTTCAACACATATTTATTCAAACACTTCTTTAGAATATTAAAGCCAATGTGTGCAAAATGTCTCCCCAGAAATATAATATCTGATTTCATGAGCTCTGCCTCCTTGCTGATACCTTTTTATGTTGGGGCTCTTTCCTGTTGATCAGGATTTTTAGTGTCTCTGGCCATTGTATTGCATTTATATTCCTATTCAAAACTTCAAGCTGTTAATTTAAAAAAAACAAACCTAAGTTTTTCTACAGCAGTATAAGACATGAACCAGATACATGGTGTTGCTATTTGTGTTGCTTACATAGAGGGGCGTGACATGGGATATCCTTAGTTTTGTTTCATTTTGTTGTTGCTCTTTTTGTTAATCAGAAAACTGGGGGGGGAAGAATCAATAGATACAGTGACTTTAAAATGCTACCTGTTTTCTATAACCCATTTTCCAGCTGCCGGCGGCCATCAGCTTGTTGCTCTCTGTGCTGTTCACCAGGCATTCTCCTGCCATCCCCCACTGAGAAAGACTGTTGGGCCCTCCTGTTCTGGCCTCCAGGCCCTAACACAAAGCAGATGTGGAAGAGGAGAATCCCCTACAACAATGTCTGAACAGTCAGCTGGAGGTACTCAACTCACTCGAGCCACATCCGGTTGATGCACTCAGACCGTGAACGTTCGTTAGAAACCTCACACGCCCAGCTCACTGCTGACGTCTGACACTTAATGAGAAATTACAAGAAAACTTCACACAGGCCGTGTGTGCAGCCCTGCCTCTGTGTGTGTGTGTATTTGAAAGTGAAACCTGCAAATGTGTGAACTCAGTCATGTCTTGGATGTGATGCCATAATAGTTGAATTTAATACCCATGATACGTGTTGCGCAATTGGCCAAAGTACATAATATTTTATCATCTTCAGTATATAGTCCAGGTTGCACTGTTTCCTTATGGAAAGTTTTAACATCATTCAGATATACAAGTATTACCGTTACTAATCCTTACGTAACCTTTAAATTACATGCACAGTTCACCTACCTATCCAACCCTCCAGCAGGTTTATCTGGGTGTAGCCTGTTGAATATCACTTCCGTGACCTAAAAACCTGGTATTCTATTACAATGTGCACCTAACAATGAAATGAATTTTTTTTTGTTACACTGCTGAAACTACACAACAGAAAGAAAAGGTTAACGGCTCACAAGGTAAACGTGAAGATGAATTAAAATGTTGAAACTCCCTGAAATACCTTGATAAGCTGTGGTATAACCTTGCCCATCATTTTATATCACCATAGTCATTAAAGAACCTTTGATCTTTGGGGTAGATCTCATTGGATAACAGTGTCATAGTGAACACATAATTATACTTATTAATCCTTTAAGCCAGTAGAGGAATGCGGTTCTTTGGCTCTTGTCGCTGCTTCTCACTCACGCAACATCTCCACCACACCTGGACACGCGTCAAGATCATCATAGAGATATAGATCATGCAAATGTGGCTGCAGATGAACAGCAGTAGAATATGCTTGATGTTGTATTGAATAAACAAGTTTGTAGATTTATGTTGTATTTACTATGTGTGGGACTGGGGAAAATTTCAAAACAAACTCAGGGTAATAGTTTTCCATGCAATCAAAACGGAACACTTGCAGAACTTCCTGTTCTGCCTCATAGTGGTCGCATATGGGCTGATGTGGTTTGGATAAAACGAGGTGAGGCG